ACTAATTCATCACAATACCTGAAAACTCTGACTTCACTTTTTTGAAAAATGAAATGGTCTTTCCTTTAAGTTTACCTGATTCTTTTCAATGGCAATGATTACAACTTTACAACTATTGTGTTAATCCACAGAGTATTCAGTAAATTACACAATCAGAAATAAGCCTGGATTAAGTAGCAATTTAAAATGAAAATAACTTCAAGTTGATTTGAGAATTCAGTTGAATTTTATTCTGTTTGAACTTCATTTTATGATTATGGTTATGTTTTATGAACTTTGTTTTTTATTACTAAGACTTGCTTGTACAGATAATTGGAAAAGGTTTGTATAAAGAAAAATTAAGCCTAACATGACCTAACACAAAATGTTATAACAACAATTCCAATAAATATTTTGATATAAAGTAATAATGAATAAGCTCATTTCATTATTTAAAAGGAAAGTACACTACAAAAATATGCAGTTGTTACAACTTGCATAAAAGTGTATTTTGAAACTATGTTATCAATGTACTACTCACCAGCCAGAAGTTCACTAAAATATCTAAAAAAATAAAAAATTGTTCAAAAAGTAATAAGTAAATAATAAATATATACTAAAATTGTGCTGAGACCTTTCTCAATGAAACATTTATTGTCACGGGTGCTAGATCCGACTAGGAATTTCAGTGTGTTTTTATATAAATGGTATACTTGAGATCTAGTCAAACATTCCACTGTAACAGCAAGCAGTACAGTAATATTTTGGAGAATGGAATTGTTTTTGTCTTGTTGTGAAAGTTTTATTTTTTTTCTTTCAAATGGACATTCTGTTACGGTATGTCAGGAGAAAATACCCTGGTATGCACAGGATTGCAAAACCCTGTCCTGAGATTTAAAAAATAAAAACCTTGGACATTTAAGCCAATGTAAATATGTACATGTTCTGAAGTTTCCTAGTTCATATTCTGTTGATATAAAAATATAACTTTGAAGTTTTTTTTTCAAATTATTTTTCCTAGCATTGAAATAACTGTGCATCCTTAAGAGGAGAGTAAACTATTAAACTAAAACAGAGAAGGCTAATATTTTTTTAGCATTGTGATATATTTTTGGAGTTACAGCTGAAAATATCATTAACAATGAAAATACTTAATTGATGAAACGTTTTTTTTATCTTTCTAAGTTAGAACAATATATTTAATTAGCTATCCTCATTACTATGTTGATTTGTAGTTGTGACTTATTTTGCTAGCTTGATTTGGTCATAAATCTATATTAATCACAGATATTTTATCAGTCCCAATATTCACTATAAGTTCAGACAATTTGAAGAAGCATGTTAGTAACGTCTATTAAATTCTTCCTTGAAGATTTATCTAAAAACGCAAGTTAACATAATACATATGCAATCTATATATATTAAACTTATTTGGAAGCTACTTGAGTGTGTAAGTTATAGAAATATAAGAATTGTGAGTTTAAGATTGTTCATTTCGTTAGTCAATAGGCGCACTTCTGGAACATTAAATTTGTTTTTCAGACAATAATGACCCGATTTTTAATTAAAAATGAAACTTTCCATCAGACTTTTCACTTTGTTCACATCAAATGAATATTTTGAGTAAGACTACTCGATGATGAGGAACCCACTTTGAGATTAATAATGCTTGAAGTTTAATCTTATATTAAAGTTTTTCTTCATTACCCATTCAAGCCGTCTCCAAGCATTACTACTTAAATAATGTAGAGTAATAGATGGAATTATATGATACTGCTTTCAGATCATATCTTTGGCAGTCTTTTACAAATTTTTCATCAAATTCTTTTGATTTATTTGTGCTTTGTTTTGAATGAAAAATGTCCACATAATTTTTTTTGTAATTTGATGTTTTGAAAGACGAGTTTGATTGGCTATATGTGCCTCGAACAATGTTTTTTATACATCTAAAATTGCAGTCATTGTATTTATTCATTATACTAGACCTAAAGACTATTCAAAACTGTGACAAGACACTTTTTTTTTGACATAAATTGATTTTTCATTACACGTCGTAATCTATATAACATATATTCAGCTTTTGCGTGGTTTCTTATTGATACAAAATATTGGGTTAACTTAATTGCTTTTCAGCTTGGTATAAAAAGTCATGCACTCTGAAGACGCTTTATATTTTAACATCTATTACTAAATACGTTTTCGGTCTGCAGCCAAAGGGCATACTATAATACTGTTTTCTGAAATGTTTGGCGATTATGTATCATGATTTGAAGTAAAGGGTCCATCTATGGCCTAGTGGATAGCATCTCAAGCTGAAGATTGAAAAGGCACATGGTTGAAACAGGATGCTTGACGTTTTTGTCTCAAAATAAAATGAAATTTTTATGTAATGTTGAGTACTTTTGCCGAACATAATTATTTAGGGTGAAAGTACACAGCACGTGGAAAAGGTTTTTAAGAGATTAAAACTTAATTTTGTGATTATAATTAAATGAAAGACATCAATCCAATTGATAAGTTGTTTCACAAGTTTAACCTAACAGCTATGGATGCCCATAGTTTTGATTAATGCCTGTGATGTATCAATGTCGTGGATTACAAGGTGTTAGTGTGTTATTTTGAATATGCAATTTACGTGATATTTCACAACTAATATAAAGTTACCTTGGAACGGAATATATCAGAACTACATTTAGCATTTTTTTTGGTATTTTGAAGGTGATGTCACCTAAAATTGTCTTTTAGGATGAGTATTAACCATTTCAGTACAAAATATACATACACTTAGATTATAAAGATGTGTTCAGACAGAGGATTTAGAATTTCTAAGAGGTAATATTACTTGTAGTTAACGGCATAGATAAACAAAGTAATATGGATGAACTTGGGACC